TGAAATATGGGTACTTTTTGATTCATGAAGTGCTTTTATTATAAGAACAGCCACCTTTCCTCCACTGCCTCCAAAATACTCACAAAGAAATTACAAAACTGGTGGGTTGTGATTTGATGATTTGATGATTTTATTCTTTGTCACTGCAGTTTGCAGTTCGTTACCATCTTTTGCTTGATTATTGTAATGGCAGGTGTATCCTTGGAAGAGAGATGGCTGCCTTCGCTCTCTCACTTTCTTACTTGGCATATTTACGGTAGTTGGTGGGGACGCAGGAATGGAACATGGGGCTGGAGAGAGCATGTCCTGAGTGTTGGCTCACGTGGGGCTGGGTTGGGGACCAGCTCTGTCACCACTGTGCTCATGTGAGGTGATGTCCGTAAGCTCCGATCTCCTTGTTAGCACCACAGGGCAGTAAGAGAGTGTGTGTGACCCATATCTTTATCAGTCAGTTCTGTTTCATGGAGCTTTTTAACCCATTAGTAAGTAAGTGTAGAAGGCAAACATGCCGTAAAGGAGGGGAGGGTACTTTAGAATTGTTACCTGATAAAAAATTGTCCATAGGGACTTGAGCTTGATTCTTCCCAGGGTATCAATGTGAGCAAAACAGCAACAAGCAGGTATGTAGAGAAGGAAGGAGAGGGCTGCTTCACAAAGCCCGAGTTAGGGGAGAAGCAAGGGGAGCCCTGTTCTAGGATGCAGCTGGCTGAACAGGACTTGAACCTGGCAGGGCTCTCCTTGAGGTGTTCTGGATGTCACAGGGTGTGCAGAATCTGGGCCTTTGGGAGGTGCCGGCTGCATCATCGGCTACCATCCTTGAGAGCACACTGACAGAGGTCTGGGCAGCTGAGAATGCATATTCCTTCAGCACATTATTGACAGGAATTCACAACTCTGCCAAGGCAGTAAAACAAAAACATGAGAGGCTTTTGAGGGAGTGTTCTGAGGAGTGAGGTATTCTTTTGAGTAGTACTGGTAAACCAGTGAATGAACTGTACTTAGCTGGAAAGGAGACCTGTAAAGAGGCTAGTTCATAGAGAAAACTTGAATCAGAGTAATGGGGCTAGGTCTGGGGATTTAGCTTACTGGCACAGCTCTTGCCTGAGAAGTGTGAGCTTGCGAATTCAATTCCTGGTACCAAAAAAAAAATCAGAGTAATGGGTCTAGTATGTTTTGAGAAATATAGCTTTATCTACTGAGAATTAGCAATGTCAGCTTAATCTCATTGAGTTTAAGATAGTATTTATATCACAGCAGGCTCACACCACTTGGGTCTCTTTTGAGTAAAGTACCAAAAAATGTGCTTAAGGGATCAGCTTTCCCTGATCTTCAAAATAAACGCAGTACATGTTTTTAGAGTTCTTTTTTTTTTTGGTTTTTCTCCGGTACCGGGAACCGAACTCACTACCTTGCGCTTGCCAGGCAGGCGCTTTGCCGCTGAGCTAAATCCCCAGCCCCGTTTTTAGAGTTCTTAAAAGACTGGTTTTAAATAAATATTACCCTATAAATATTTAGTGTTTATAGTTTAAAGTGATTAATAATTTTTTAATGTTAGCACTTGTTGGCATATTCATTATATATGAAATAAAAACATTGTCCTAAAGTTTAAATGAACCGTTATTAATTTCAACAAACCAGTATATAGTTGAGTGCCTATAGTGATAGACACTTTGTTTGATGGTTTTTGAAAGGATAAAAAAAGCAGGGGACAATATCCATGTTCTCAAAGAACTTAGACTTAGCTAAATAATTGAGCAACTGTGGCGTGTAGTTAAATGCTTGGCTATGGACCAGACACTCATTCTACAAACTAGGCTAAAAGGGATAATTTATGGGAACATTTCTGGGTGGTGGTAGGGCTTGTCTTCCACACAGAACTCAATACCTATGATTTATGTATGTTGAACAACAGCTAACTATGGAAAGTAGTAGGTGATAAATGCTACATAAAAAATACAGTTGAAATGCTCCAGGAACAAGAAAAGATGGGCGATTTCTGAGATTTACAGTGGTCAAAGGAAGCTTGAAGGGGCTGGCATCTGGGTATGTTCAGGAGGTTGGAACTGAAGCATAGGGGGCTTTTGCAGGTGAGGAGCGAGGTGTAGAAGCCTATGTGAGATATAAAATAATTCACAGTCTAGCCTGTGGATAGTGGAGTGTATCTATTTAAGGGTTCGTGGTTGTGAAGATGGTACATGTGTACATATTGCTTTCCGTCCGTTGCCTGTGGCAGCCATCTATAAGAATCTGTGTAGTTTGACTGTTAGAAAAATTCCTAAAAATTTACACTAGTGTTCCTAGTTCTTTTCTCATGTTGAACCAGAGGATAAACAAAAGAATAGCTCTGTTTGCTAATAATTGCTGTCCAGTCATACTGACATATTACTTACCGTTTTGACTGTCTTCTCTCTGGCCCTAGAGCAGGCCTTAGGTGCATGTAGGAAACTGCAGGTTACTTCTTCATGAAACGTTACGCAGCTATGTGCTATTTTAAAAATATTATTTTACAAAATTGAATTATTAACACTGCAGAGAGAATCATACAAAATACATCACAGGGATAAACGTGGAGATAAATGGGTTAATTTTGAGCAAGATAATGACTGCAACACAGCAGGGAGACTTCCCTGCCTTTGAAGATGTTTTCACGTTATCTTGCTTCGCTGTATGTTACCTCAGTGTAAGAATTTGTCTCCACCTGGGAATAGGAAGTATTGCATGTCTCTCTGTGTGTGGGGCAGTGATTGGAAGGAAGATTTTCCTTGGAGCTTTTGAACTATAGCAATGGTTGGTTAACCATAAGAATTTTATTTATACTCGTCTATGATCTTAAAATGAGCCATCTTTTATAGAATTTGATAATAGCCTGAGATATCATTCCAAATCTAAAGAAAAGTAGAACTAATTAAACAAATCGTCTGACCAAGATAGGACAGCGGTACCTGGCAGATGCGTGCTTACAGAAAAGGATTTAGCAGGCCAGGCTCGTGAGGACAGCCTGAGCAGAGTGGTAGAAGACCCTGAACTGCTGTGCTGCACGTCATGGGAGGAGTGCACAGAGGGCCAGAGTCGCGGCCGGGCCTTCCAGCCTGACCCCCTCCTCCTTCCCGTGGCAGTTGGACAGATTCACCTGTTCTGAAAAAGATGGTTATACTTCAGATTAGGGAGATAGATCTT